ATGTATTAAGGCTGGGCAAGGCAACCCAGTATGAGGAGTAGGGTCCCAAAAGTCAGTAAGAGTGTCAGGGACAGCTCCTGTTTCTACTGTTAGGAGTACCACAAAAGGATCAAGCTACATATTTATTTTACTTTTAATGATGTAGATGGGGTTTGAACATGTGCCTGCAAGTGTCTGTGAAGGAGATACAGGTGATTGTTAGTCACTCAACATAGTGCTGAGTCTGAACTCAGTTCCCTCTCCAACACCAAGATTTTTTTCATTTTTAAGCTTGGCAGTGCTGGTACACACCTTTAATCGCAGCACTTAGGAGGAAGAGGCAGACAGATCTCTGTGAGTTCAAGGCCAGCCTGGTCTATAGAGCTAGTCCCAGGACAGGCTCTAAAGCCACAGAAACCCTGTCTCTAATCTCGGCTGGACTCAAACTCTCTAAGTAGCCAAGGATGACCACGAACTTCCAATCCTCCTGCCTCCACTTCCCAGTTGCTGGCATGTGCCACATTTGTAGAACCATTTGTAGGGTATTTGTGTTCATCTGATGTCCAAGAGCTTTAACCAGTGAGTACAGGGACTCCCGCCACCAGGAAGAGCTTTAACCAGTGAGTACAGGGACTCCCGCCACCAGGAAGAGCACTTGCAGAAAGAGAAAGCATTCTTCTTAGAAGAGAGCTGCACAGAGAAAATGGAGGAAGTGAACTCACTCTAGGCAGCCGGCTGCGGGGAGCTTCTGTTGGGTTTGAAGACAACATCCCCACACCTGTTTACAGGTGAACTGAAGCCCTAGGCAAAGTTCCCATCTAAGACAATTCTCTGAATTTTTTTCATAATTTCTTCTTTTTATATACATTGGTATTTGGCCTGCATGTATGTCAGTATGAGGGTGTCAAATCTCAAGGATGTCAGATCTTGTGAGCTTCCATGTAGGTGCTGGGAACTGAACCTAGGTCCTCTTTAAGAGCAGTGAGTGCTCTTAACTGCTAAGCCATGTCTCTGTGTTTGTTTTAATTTATTTCTTTCTTCTTTCCTTCCTTCATTTTTTTTGGTATTTTGAAACAGGGTTTTTCAGTAGCTATGGAGCCAGTCCCAGAACTTGCTCTGTAGACCAGGCTGGTCTTGATCTCACAGAGATTCACCTGCCTCTGCCTCCTGGGTGCTGGGATTAAAAGCATGCGCCACCACCGCCCAGTTTATAAAGATGTATTAAGATGGGTACCATGGCATATATCATTAATCCCAGGACTCAAGAAGCAAGAGACAGGAGGATATCTATGAATTTAAGGTTAGTCTTGTTAACAGAGCAAATTTTAGGCCAGCGAGGGCTACACAGATCATGTGACAACAAATAAATAACAAAAATTAAAGATCTGTCTTTGAAATTTTTTTGTTTTTTTTTAAAATTTATTTATTAAGCATACAATGTACTGCTGGCAAGGAAGGCACCAGGTCTCATTACATTACAGATGGTTGTGAGCCACCATGTGGGTGCTGGGAATTGAACTCGGGACCTCTGGAAGAGCAGCTAGTGCCCTTACCCTCTGAGCCATCTCTCCAGCCCCCTGTCTTTGAAATTTTTATTATTAATTAATCATGTCTGTGTGCACATCTCTGTGTAAGTATGTGCATGACTTCTGTGGCTAGAAGAGGGCAAAGAGTCACACAGAGCATTAGGTATATTTACCATTTTGACAGGTTGTTTAGAAACCTTCCCCCCCACTTTCTCTTTTTTATAAGATGACATGTGCTGAGTTGAAAAGCCCACTCAACAGTTAGTAGCACACAGGTTTTTTCAGAGCACTTGATTTTGGTTTACAACAGCCTAGAAAGTAAATTGATGTCTTCTGACATTCTTGGGCACTGCACTCACACATGATGGAAACACACTAACATACACATGAAGAATACAAACAAAGCTTTAACGCTGTGTGTGATGGCACACATCTTCAACCACACTACTTACAAAGCAGAGGCCAGGGTTACATGGGGAGACTGTTTAAACAAAATCCCTGTGCATTCCATTATTTATTTATATATGTGTGTGCTACAGCATGCACAGAGGTCAGGTGACAAGCTTCAGGAGCCAGTTCCCTCCCTCCACCATGTGTGTCCTGAAGGTTGAACTTGGGTGGGCTAGTTGACTGTCAGGAAAGCTATTCAACTACTGAACCATCTTGCAGGCTCCTTCTTGCTCATCTGAAAGATGTGAGGTGGCTCTAAAGAAATCTTGGATGAAGTTATAATCTGATAACGTGAAACCAGAGTTGAACGGGGTCAGTACATTTGTATGTACTTTCCCTGTAAATGAGATGGTGGGGAAATTGCAGGTTATAGCTGGGAATGGAGAATGTAATTGGGCTTGAATTCTTGCATTCCTGCTGGCAAGAGGCTTCACTCAGATTCCAGAATGACAAGCTCTTTTCCCTTCTTATGTCCCCAAGATTTCCCCTTCCTTTTTCTTTTTTAAAAAAATTGTTGTTGGGTTGTGTGGTGTACACCTTTAATCCCAGCACTCAGGAGGCAGAGGCAGGCGGATCTCTATGAGTTTGAGGTCAGCCTGGTCTACAAAGCAAGTTCCAGGGCAGCAGCTAGGGGCTGTTACACAGAGAAACCCTGTATTAAAATGCAAAAAAAATTAAATAAAAAATGTTATTTAGCTGTGTGTGATGGCACATGTCTTTAATCTCAGTACTCAGGAGGCAGAAGCAGGTGGATCTCAGTTCAAGGCCAGCCTGTGCTACACAGAGAAACACTGTCTTGAAAAATCAGTATGTATGTGAGTATACATACATGCAAAATTATTTTCTGTGTATGAGTGTTTTGTTCAATATGTATGTGCACCATGTGTATACCCACAGAAACTAGAATATGAGATCCTAGATCTGTGTTACCGTGTGGGTACCAGAAATCAAACTCAGCTCTTTTGGAAGAATACCAGTGTTCTTACTCTCAGAGCCATCTCTCCATTGCTTCGTCCTGCCTTTCTATTCTCAGCCTTCAGTCTGCCTACTTTCAATCCAGTGTTACTTCTTGGCAGAGACATGCTGAGCTGTCTTTGGTGCCTGGATTTGTCCTGACCCCTGGTGGCCAATGAAGGAGCATATCCCCTGCCTCCAGGGGCAAGCATGCTTATGAAGACAGGGAGAGATGCACTTCCGGATCACAGCAACACTTTGGAGCAGTTTGTGCTTAACTGGCAATGAGGGAAAACACCTGTCAGAGCTATATGGTGACTCTGAGATGTGTTCTGGAGGTGAGTGAGGCACTGAACTGCCACCAGTGTCACCTGCCTTGGGCAACATGCACAGCCACACATCTGTTTTTTGTTTTTGAGACAGGGTCTCAAACTCCAGAGACCTGTCTGCCTCTGCCTCCTGAGTGCAGGGATTAAAGGCATGCACCACCACCACTTGACTGTTGTTTCTTAAATATGTGTGCAACTGTGGGTCTGCATGCTATGACATACATGTGAAAGTCAGAGGACAACTTCTGGGAGTCGATTCTCCCCTTCTACTATGTTCTGGGAACAAACTCAGTTGTCAGGCTTAAGTGCTTTTACCCTGAGTCATCTTGCCAACTTTCTGTTGTTTTAAAAGATTTACTTTTATATACACTGGTGTATTGCTTGCATGTGTGTCTGTGTGAAGGCCCTCTGGAGCTGGACTTAGACAGTTGTGAGCTGCCATGTGGGTGCTGGGAATTGAACCCTGGTCCTTTGGAATAGTCAGTGCTCTTAACTTCTGAGCCATCTCTCTAGGCCCCGTTGTTTTTATTGAGCTATATATTTTTCTCGGCTCTCTTCCCTTCCTCTCCCTTCCCCTTCTACCATGGTCCCAATTTACTCAGATTTTGTCTTCCCCATTCCTGACTTTTCACATGGGTTCTGGGAATGGAACAAATGACTTGACTTGGGTATAGGGGCTTTTTATAGATTTATCTTTTAATTAAGTGTATATTCTATAAGTGTTTGAGTAACTGTAGTGGCAAGAGGGTGTCAGACCCCTTGGGGCTGGAATTACAGGTAGTTGTGAGTTGTCTGACATGCATGCTGCAATTTAGGTACTCCTGAAGAGCAGTAATTCCTAACTGCTGAACCATTTCTCCAGCTCCCATTTCTTTCTTTCTTTCTCTCTCTCTCTCTCTTTCTTTTTTAAAAACAGTCTTGTGTAGCCCAGACCTGAACGTCTCTTGTTTCTACCTTGCAATCACTCCTCAACCTCTGGGGTAACTTCTCAAACAGCTTAGGGCAGGTTGGTGACAGACTCTATCCTCCCAGATGGGGACACCTGCTCTCACAGGGCAGCTTTTCCTTTGTGGATCAGCCACAAACACACACTAGTGAAGCATGAGGATTCAACAAGCATGTCCTTCTCTTCTCCAGACACTGGTTGGTGATATAGGACCCAGGACATTGACCTGTTCTGAGGTGATAACCTTCAAGTTGATGAAGAATGAGCAGAATCTACCTGAAATCCAGTTTAGGTTGAGTTGCTAAGGCAGATACATACAGGTGTGGATAGGAAACAAAGCTGTAATCCAAATCCTCTCAGGAAGAACAGCAGCTGGGAACACACCCAAAGGCAGTGGAGGCTCTGCTCTGGGTCTTTTAGCACTGGGGTCTTGGGAGATCTTGACGATGGCTTGAGGGAGCAGCTGCCGTGCAGTGCAGTATGGAAGGTATGTTTGTCATACACAAGGCTTCAGTTCCACCCACAGCAAAGCACAAAAAACACAAAAAAGTGACCGGAGAGATGCCAAGTAGGTGTCACCTATGGTGCCAGAAACATAGGTTTGAAGCATAAGAATGTCCTAGGTCCAGAGGTGGAGATCCTCAAACCAAGCCACAAAAACAAAACAGTCTAAACCTGTGAGGGGTGGCTTACACCTTATTCTTAACTGAGATTTGGGGAGGAACAGCTACAAGTTCAAGGGTAGCCAGGGCTACACAGTAAAATTCTATCTCTGTCAAATTCAGTCAACCAAAAACAAACAAAAAAAAACACCTGTCAACAAAACTTGTCTAATTTTATATGGATTTCAACTCAACAGTCAAGATTCAACAAGCAAATAACCAATCTCATGGCACAGCAAAAAGCCTTCCCCACTCTGGAGCACAAGGGTTGGCCCAGGCTTTCTTTTATTGGTGTATTTGTGTTCACTGTGGTGCCCTGAATGGCATGGAACTTGGAATAGTTCTTCCATTTCAGCTTCCCAAATGCTGGAAAGGGACCAGTGGGACACCTGGGTATAGGAGCAAACCTGTCTAGGGGCTTGTGTGCTGGAGCTGCAGGGTGGAATGCCCTTCAGAGAGGGTCTAAACCAAATGTATCAAGACAGGGGACTAAGAGATGAAGCTATAGCTCAGTTGGTGGACCACTAGCCTAGCAGTACCAGGTAAAGCAGGTGTAATGGCAAAAGCCTGTCACCACAGGTTAGAGGAGAATCAGAACTCAGGGTCATTCACAAATAAGAGATACCATCTCAAAACAAAACAAAAAAACAAACCTCGAAGAACTGTCCCTTCCAATCAAAACCCCAAAGCCAAACTAAAAGAGTCAAGCATGGTGGAATTTGCCTGTAATCTCAGCACTTGGGAGATTGAGACAAGAAAACTGAGTTACTCAGGCTGGTGACCGCTGCACTGCAGAGCCCTCAAAACAAGCAAGAACAAAAGAATCAATCAACCAAACCACCCAAAAATCAAACAGAAAAAGGGGCTGTGGATCAGCTTCCCACTAGGCTAAGTTCAGAAAAGGGCTGTGCCTTTGAGGCTGGACTCCAGTCTACAGAGGGGCTGCTGGGAGGGCTGAAGGGTGGGAAAATGAGAAGACTGGAGGAGTCCTGTAGGAAGAGACCAGCAATACAGGTGGACTTCTCACAGCTTTCCACTTAAAACTGTTAAGTTCTTGATTAAAAGCACAAGCTGCTAAAACCAGGCAACACCACATTAAAAACTCTCCACACTCATGGCATACCTTCCTTCACCTGTGTCACCTGTGGACCAAGGATGACAGACACATAGGGCTATACCCCAGCCTGGCTCCCTGGGTGGCTTGTGGCTCCCTCTAAGGACCTCCTGAACCATAATATCTGTGCGTGCTGGCCCTTTTGGGTTTTTCTCTCAATCTTTAGTTAATGGACACTGTGGTGACTGCACTGAGGTCATGGAGGTTTCACTTCAGTTGACCCCTCAACACCGATCATGGAATTTGCCATAACCTCATCCTTAGTTTTCAGTGCTTAAGACATGGTCACTAAAAGTACTCTAACACCAGGACAGATGTCAAGTTGCAAGGTTCTTGTTTGAAATGCTCTATGTACAAAATGCCCTAGAAGCAAAAAAAAAAAAGAAAGAAAGAAAAAAAGAAAAGAAAGCATAAATAAATAGGCAGGGCTGTGATGCAGACACTGAGGGGGGGGGTCCCTGGGACCCAAGGGGCTGGAGGAAGATGAAAAGGTTGGGAGCACCTGACCAGGGACAGTGGCTGCCACGTGGCTCAGTGACAATGTCCACGAAGGCCTTGGAGCCTTGTTCCTTCAGTCATGGATTCCAAAATTCCAAAGCTCTGAGAAGTGGCCTTCATGGTGCCTGGGTGACAGACAGCTCCCAAGCACCATCTTTACCACCAAAGAGAGTACCTGTCTAGGTACCGCAAACTGGCAGGAACCATTGTCCCTTGACATCACTGTGTCACCCTTGGTGGAGCCCATAAGCCAAGAGGAGCTGAGATGGTCCCGTATGTGTCCTCCATGGGAAGGCTGCACAGCTGCCAGGAAGGAAGCTCCTTCATACAGGTCCAGCGGGACTTCTGCCTAGTACCCTGGGCCAAAAGGCGACGTTGAATATGAGCAAGGAGATGGCCGAAGGCAAGGTGGGTACCCAAAGTCTCAGCTGCCATCAACTGCACCATGCACACCTGGTCCCAAGCTCCTCCCCTGCACTAAGATCACCTTCCAGGAACAGTCAGGTCGAGAGGCTGACTTCCAGGTCCTCAAAAGTCCCTGAGTGCAGGGACACTGGAAGAACAGCAGGATGAGGAAAGTGAGGGCTATTTCTCTACCCTCAGCTTGCCCTGGGCTGTAGGCCGCTTTGTGCTGTTGCACTTAGGTAGTCGGCACCAAGGTTTGGTTGAACAGTCTAATGATGGCCCTGTACAGATTGTCATCCTATTCAGATACAGATTAGGACATCAGTCCCCTCCAAGAGACGGCACTGAGTCCTGGTACAGGCAGGGATCAGCTGTCACCCTCAGTGGTAGATGATGACTCCAGCACTCCTGGGACTCACTCAGCTCTGGACAACGGTGAGGGACTGGTAGATACCCTGGTGGTTTTGTTCCCAGAGAGCTTCAGTGTTGGGTCCAAGTTGGGGACACAGGCCAGAAGGGCCTCACAGAAGGCTGGCCAGGCTGGTGTTGGGTCCATTTTGAGCTTGGAACTGCACAGGAGGTGGGCCATCTGTCCACTGTTGGGGAGAACACACATGGGTGAGCCTAGTGGCCCTTCTAGGAAAAAGGGACAACTAACACAGCCCTTCACACCTGAGGAGCTGGAGGTCCTCACCCACATGTCTGCTTTCCCACCCTGTATACCGTAATGAGGTTGTGCTCTGGGAGGCTGCAGGCCTCAATGTGGTCCTGTAGCAGCTGCTGGGAGAAGTTCTGGTGCATCTGTGCAGCCTCATGGGCATCCATGGCATTCCCACATGCCTTGTTTAGATCTGAGAATGGAGCAGGTGTCATTGTCTAGTTCATATCCTGGGTGGCCAAACCCATACCACCCAGAGCAGACAGGATTTGCCCTCAGGGATCCAAGCTCATCTTGAGGCCCAGGAGGATCATCCACAAAGCCCTATAAGGAGAAGTTCCAGCTCCACCCACCACAGTTCTTAAAAGTCCCTTGGAAAGCCAGGCATGGTGGCTTGGCAGACAAAGGAACGTAAATCTCTGTGAGTTCAATGCCAGCCTTGTCTACATAGAATTCCAGGCCAGCTAGGGCTACATATCAGACTCCGTCTCCAATAAACAAAAATAAAAGTCCCTAGAGATGCAGTCCTGCTCATGTGCTATCAGGGCTCCACAAGTATGTCTGGTAGCCTTGTTCACTCTCACCTCTCAGGAGGGCCGATGACCACAACTGCACAGACATGTCTGGGATCTTGCTGGCCAGTTGCATGGCAGGCACCACCATGTTGTTACTCTCCTGCCAATCAAAAGCTAAGAATGAATTGGTGGCTTTGGAAGAGTGGCTTTGACTCCACCTGGCCAGGCTGGTGTTTGTCCGCTGCTGCTGGACAAATTCCTATTCCAACTTCAGAGCCTACCTAAAATGGTCACCTGAAGCAGTCTTGTTCACCTTGAAAAACCACCACCACCACCACCACCAACAACAACAACCAATGAGCATCCTTGCTCTTGCTCTTCACATGAGGCAATGAGTGGACCACAGTGTGCTTTCTGCTAGCTAGAGAAAAAAAAAAAAACAGCTCTGAAGTCACAATAAGAAATGATTAGCCAGGCAGAATTTACAGAGCGAGTTCTATGACAAGCTCCAAAGCTACAGAGAAACCCTGTTTCAAAAAACAAAAACAAAAAAGAAAAAAGAAATGATTAGGCTGGGCAGTGGTGGTGCACACCTTTAATCCTAGCATTTGTGAGGCAGAGGCAGGCAGATCAGAGTGGTGTATGGAGTGAATTACCAGGACAGCCAGGGCTACACAGAGAAACCCTGTCTCAAAGACAACAAACAAACAAAACAAGACAAAGCAAAAAGAACGAACTGTAAATTCAAGTAGGTGTCCCTGGGTCTCTGAGGGAAAGCAGCCTGTGTCAGCTAAAGGTCTGCTTCAGGAAGAAGTCGCTGGTCTAATGAGAAGATTTGTTCCTTTGAGCTGGCTTCTGTAGGCGGGGTCTCTGGTTTGTGACCCACTCTACTCAGCTTCTGTGTGGGCTGAGATGCTGACCTAGAGCCCAGTGCTCTCATGAGTACTAAGGGAGTCCTGGGAAATAGTCTCCTGGTGCTGACCTAGAGTCCACCCTGAGGAACAGGAGATTGCTCTCAAGTTCAAACCACACCCTGTTCTACCTACCTAGATTGTAGGCCTGGTTTTGGGTATGTCCTGTGACAACTCCCAGCAGCGGGACACCAAACCCTCAAACCAGAGGCCAGAGAGATGGTTCAGAGGTTGAAAACACTGGCTGCTCTTGCACCCACATGGCAGCTCACAATTGTCTAATTCCAGTACCAGGAGATCTGACCCACTTCTTCTGATCCCTGTGGGTACCCAGGCACACACATACATACGTGCAGGCAAAACATTCACACATAGAAAATAAGAAAATCTAAAAATACTGAAAAATCTAAAAATAATATTGAAAAAAAAAAAGCCAGATTCTAGGCCTGGGCACAGCTTAGTGGGACAACCTAACCAAACCCAATGCAGTAGGGCTGCAGTCAGACCTCCACCTCCAACAACCAGAACCAAACTGAGCAGAGGATTCTCAAACCTCAGTGGGCAGAAGAACTGTTCTCGTCCTTCAGACTGAGGAAGGGCTGAAATATGAGCTGGCTCAATAGATGCATAGCATGGGTCTGACACACATCTGAGCCAGACTTCTCCTGGTTACGTGGCTGTTGCTCTTGAAATGCTTGTCTCACCCATGAGGGGCTGGCCTAGCTGGCTTTTCCCTGCGGCTCCATGCCAGGCCCAGCTGTCTCCCTAAGTCAGGCTTACACATGCAGACAGGGTATTTTATGGCAAGTCATGGGAGTGGCAAACACTGCCAGACAAGCAGATTTCTGGCCCAAATCCCTGTTCCAAGTGTTTCACCCCACACTAGAGTACCACCATCACATAGGGTAAACATGGTCCTGCCCAATGACTAGGTAGCTGTCCACTTAGCAGGCCACAGCACTGGGAACACCAAGGCCACTCCCTGCTCTCCATGGTCAAGCTACTCCCACTGGCTGTTCACTATATTTTATCAATAAAGTGAAATAAAAAAGTTAAGTCATGTGAAGCTATGTGGTTGATGGTGCCACAGACATGGGAGGCTTTGACATTGTTGGTTCCACCTAAGGTCCTGGCACAGTCCCAGAGGGCCATGTATTCTAGAGGAAAGGTGTGCTGAGGAGCCTACAGGAAGGAGCAAGGCAGGAGGTAGCTGTCTCTCAGGTTTGAGGCTTGTGAGCCTGACATATACACCCTGGAACGGAACCTGACCCCAGGCCCCCATGCCTTCCAGACCTTGCATGTTGGTAGTGCGTGGGGCTTTCACAATATACTTTCCTGAATTCCAGGACAAGAAGTGCCAAGCTCCATAGTGGTGCTCCCCCGTTCTCCATACTGCCCACTGGCTAGGCAGGGACTCACCCTGTGATTCCCTAGCACATAGAAGATGTGACCCAGCAGCACAAGGGAGCAGGCTGTGAGGCGGTTCAGGTCCTCTGCATTCGACATCTTTAAAGTTTCTCGCAGAAATCGCCTGTACAAGGGAAACAGATGCTGACACCTGCAGGCATATCAGTCACACAGAAGCAGAGGTGGCCTGAGGGAGGAGAGGCTTCATACATGGTGCCCCAACCCAAACTCACTTGGCTTCATTGTAGCGGCCCTGGAAGAAGGAGAAGAGCCCACGCACATAGAAAGCTGCCGCTCGGAGGCAGTGTGAGCTGCAGGGAAGCAGAGAGTCACAGATATAGGAGAAAGGTTTCCCAAAGGGAGCCTCTGCAGACTGTCTGAAGGATGGGGTGCAAGCAGTGTTGAGTCTGTCTGGCAGTCTGGGGCCCACAGGAGCACATGCCATCCCATGAGCAATGGGGGTGTGGGGCACAGGCTACTCACCTGACTGGGAAGCTGTGGTCTGGGTTTATCCTCTCAAGCAAACTGTACAGCTGGTGGAGAAATGTTAGTTAGTCAGGACTGAGCTCTACCCCGAGGCCAGGTCCTGAACATGCTACAGGGGGATGGGGCTTTCTCCACTCCAGTGGAAGAATAGCACAGTATGCAGCATGCCTGCCCAGAACAGCCTTGAGATGGGGGGGTGTCCATCTGAGGGAACCATGAAGGAGAGTGAAGGTGGAACAGCATCCCTCTGATGTCCTGCCTCAGCTCCCTGACAGTCAGGGTGGCAGAGGTTCATCTATCTATATAAGACCTTCTTCCCCTTGATTTGGGGGGAGGCCATGGTTCTGTGACAGAACGTTTGGCAGTATGCATGCACAATGTCCTGGGTTGGACCCCAGCACCACAAATTAAAAAAAAAAGCACAATGTGGAGTCAATAAACCTTAAGAGGCTTAGGATGGCACAGAGGCCACATAGCTGCAGGAGTGCAGCCCCAGTCCCAACCCCTCAAAAGCTGTACCCTCATAAAAATTAAACACTTGGGCTTTTCTTTCTTTCTTTTTTCTCTCTCTCTATTTTTTTTGGGGGGGGTGGTTTTTCAAGACAGGGCTTTTCTGTGTAGCTTTGGAGCCTATCCTGGCCCTCACTCTGTAGACCAGGCTGGCCTCGAACACACAGAGATCCACCTGCCTCTGTCTCCTGAGTGCTGGGATTAAAGGCATGCACTACCACCACCCGACATACATTTGGGCTTTGCTAAGGTCTGTGGGTGCCCAGGACACCCACAGCTCCTGGGCAAGAGATGGAGAAAGGATACCAAACATGAAGCATGTCACCTACTACCTCTTGGTGTCTATTTCCTTCCCGTATATACACACTCGCAAGGTTGGTCACAATGAAGGCCCATAGCTCCTGGTGGTTGGTGAGCTGGAATGGAAGACAGAGCATTTAGGGGGCCAGTCTGGCCATTGTCACCTTGCTGGAGCCTGACTGAACACAGAGCTATTCAGGGGCTCCTTTCCAATTCAACCAGCTCACTCCAAACCCAAACACAAAGTGGAGTTCTTTCTCCATCAGCTACATCAGGGGTCATTTAGAAAGTGAACATGAAAGCTAGCTATCCCGATCCTGTCAGTGATCAACAGTGGATAATGGCAAAACATGGTCTCAACATACAGCCCGGACTAGCCTGGAATTCTCTATCCTTCTGCCTCAATGTCCTGAGTGCTGGGATGAGAGCCTGCAGCCACCCTTGTTTTTTTCTTTGCCAGTCAACAGATGTATACCTAAGCCTTGAAGCACGTTAGGTGTGTTCTCTGCCATTGAACCACAAGCTGTGGGACATTTAGTTGGCCAAAAGGAGTATACTGCTAGGTGTGGTGGTAGAGGCCGGTCACTCCAGCATTTAGGTAGCTGAGGCCAAGACCAGAAAATCTTTTTCTTTTTCTTTTGGTTTTTCAAAACACAGTTTCTAAATGTAACAGACCTGGGACTTGCTCTGTAGACCAGGCTGGCCTCAAATTCAAATTCACATGCCTCTGCCTCCTAAGTGCTGGGATTAAAGGTGTGCGCCACCACACCCAGCCAGGCAAGATCAGAATCTAAGGGCAGCTTGTGCAACTGAGATATCCTTTAAAAAAAAAAAAAAAAAGATTTATTTATTTATTTATTATGTATGCAGTGTTCTGTCTGTCTGTATGCTTAAGGCCAGAAGAGGGCACCAGATCTCATTACAGATGGCTGTGAACCACCATGTGGTTGCTAGGAATTGAACTCAGGACCTCTGGAAGAGCCATCAGTGCTCTTAACCTCTGAGTCATCTCTCCAGCCCCCTGAGATATCCTCTTAAAAACTATGAGCAGGGGCTGCAGTTCAGCAGTATAGCACTTGCCTGGCATGTGTGAAATCCTGGGTTTGATCTCCAGTATGGGATTGAAGGGAGAAAGAATATGGAATTTTGAGCAGTCCAGTGATGTACAGGGTCTTCAGCAGGCTAGGCACTCAAAAACCCGGAGTACCCTTCCCTAACCTGAGCTGGAGCAAGCAGTACTAGGCGGTAAGTTGTGGGCAATAGGAAGAGCCACAGTTTGAGGGTGAGGTCCATGTCTGCCCTAGCTCATCCCCTCCAATGGATTCTCCCAAAGGACTCCCCTCAGCATATTACTTCAGAATTGTGCTGCTAGGCCAAAGCCATATGGAGAAGTAAGACAACCACTAAGAATGTGAGGCTCTTGGCATTGAAGAAGGGCCTTGACAGTACAGCAGAAGGACCTGAGGCCCAGGGAGGAAGATGAGGGTAGAAGCAGTAGAGTTGGCAGCCAGTTGGCTCTTCACATAGCACCCACAGACATGTAGACCACCAAGGAAGGGAACCCCCATCCCAGTCAGAGAGATGCCCCAGCCAGCCACCTTGCTCATAGAACAGAATCCTGCTCACCAAAATCTCTACTGGGGGCTCCCTGGGGGAATGGGTCAGTAGCCCCCATTTCCTGCAAGGACATTGATGCCAAGGTAAGGGACATTCTTCCCTGGTCCTGGGTCAGGTGGACAGAACTGGTAAATAAGCTGGTCCAAGAGGTATCTGCTCTGGACCAGCTGCTCTGGGAGAAACGGACCAGCAGGAACTTGTAGGTCAGCAGAATAAGGGGATAGGCGTCTAGTGTGGGAGCCCCTGTCCCTGAGCACCTATTGAGGGACTTAGATAGGATAAAGGCATGTCCAAGGCACTAGTCATGCATACAATGTTACTCTACATAACTTCAGAACCAATTATGACCCCAGGAGGACCATAAACCGACACAGCCTGAGGGTGTTCTGGCACTTACCAGGTGTTAAAGTAGCCACCCAGTGTCCCAATGGCCCTGATACATATGTCCTCTCTCCTATCTGTCCAGGGTATTCAAGAATCTTCACCCCATCAGCTTCCATATCAACAAGAACTGTGTCACTGTCATGGTAAGTGTCAGGCTGACTGCAGAGAATGGAGGCTCAAAGCCTACGGCTCTAGCAGCAGACCTAACTTAGTCTCCATCCTCACTGAGGGGGTACCCAATTTGACATATTGCTGCTCCAGGAGTCAGCCTTACCCGCAGGGCTGTGGTGAATTGGGCTTCAGCATTGTCCATGCAGTTCACAGAGACACAGTACAGGCCCTGCAGGGACAGGGATAGATGTAGGGCAGCTGTAAGAGTGTTTACCTGGGCCTCTGGGATGAGCTTCATATTGCTGTAAAGGACATCTCTCCCCTTGACACAACAAAGTTCACTGGGAACATCTGGATACTAACTGAATAGTGTCACAGGGTTATTTATTGGGACATCCAGATTCTTTCAGGGTGGATCACACACATTCTTTGTTAGGTATGTTCTGGGCTCGGGATTCTGGCAAGAGTAGGGCCCAGCACCCAGGGCACACTTACCAGCAGTGTGTGTAACTGGGCAGCATGGTTGGAAAAGAGCCGGGGGGATTGTTGGCACAGCTGGCAGACCTGGGAAATCTGAGGAGAGAATGGAGGTCACTGTCTGTCCTGGACCCAGTATAGACTCAAGGCTGGAAGACACACTTGCCAAACTAGGGTCAAAGTCCTGGAAGGAGAAGTTGTCACAGGGAGGAAGGTGACCCTGATCTCCTTTCTCCTTGCCCAGCTTCAACTGAGTACTTTGGCTATAAAGTGACTTTCCAATGTTCTCAGAAAGGTGGGAATCCCAGTCACATCACAATGTTCCCTGAGCATGCAAGGGAGCCAGGCCATTGGCTTACATTAGATTATACAGTTCACTCTGCTAAAGCAGTGACAGTGAGGTCACTGCACCCTCCCCACTTGGCACCTGTGCCCCTACCCATGTCAGCTCCCACCATCCTGCTCTGTGCTTGCTACCTCCTGTAGTGCAGTGGCCTTGTGGCCTGTGACGAGCCGGCACATGATGATATGCTCTAGCAGGATCACTTGGAAGGATGACAGGATGGGGCTGCAGTCCAGCACTGGGGACAGGAGGCAAGGATGAGCATGTAGGTATGGTCCCACAGGGCCCTACCCACACATCCCTGCTATAATCCCTTCCCATCTAGATAAAGACATAAGCTCAAGCCAAGGCCACTGTGAAGTGTCCCAAGGTTAAGAAATCCCCACTGGGTGGTACTCAGATACAGCAGGGGCTCAACAAGTACAGGTCCTGGCCTGGACTCCACGTACCAAAAACCACAGGATACTCTAGGCTGAGGACTATGCCATGCACAGGTCAGCTCTACAGAGGCTGTCACAGCCGCCACCCCAGTTAAGAGTTCAAGAACCTACTGAGAGGGTTCTTCAAGATGTCTTGAACTGTGCATGCCTGGGCCAGGATCCAAACTATGAGGAACCTAGGCAGTTCTTAGCAGCTCTGCACAACTCTCCTTGGGAGGAAGAGGGGCCTAGACCTTGCCTGATCCAGCTTAAGGGAAAGAGAAGTAGTTCCCAGCTCACTTCTCCCTCCAGCAGTGCTGAGGAAGGCACAGGACCAAAGTGGTTTAGAGCAATACTAAGGCCACATGTAACCTGAGATGCATAAAGTAAAGTGTGTGCACAGAACCCCCTGACTCTGGAGGCTTCAGAGCAAGTAGGTAAGGGTTACCCTGGCTTCCCTAGGCGTGGACATGTCCTAATGTCAAGGACAACTTGGAGCTGCTGGGATTGTTTAGGGTCCCCACATAGGTGGCACTTACTCTTGAGCTTTTCTAACTGCATTAGTGCCTTGTCTGTGTATTTCTGTGCCTTCTCCAGGTAGCCAGCCTGCATCGAATGCATCACTGTGACCTGCAAGGAAAGCGGATGGTGGTCACAGGGCCCTCTCCCAGCCCAGGCCCAGGGTGGTGGGACTCACCAGGTAGACGAGCACGCACATGTGCTCCTTGGGCAGCCAGTGGAAGAGGTCAGCAGGGTTGCTGGGCAGGATCTCATCATCGTGTAGCGTGGAGATGGTCTGGATGCACTGCTGCAGCTGTTTCAGGCATGGCTTGACACTCTTCACCTGTGGCATGCATGTTTCAGCAATACATCCCTGGAGGCCTAGCAATCTTGCCCAGCTCCTGCATGGGGCCTCCCTGTCCACGAGTACACCTCACCAGGTCCAGGCTACTCTTTAGCAGGAAGCACAGATCTTGGCTGGGTTATACTTGGCTTCCCACAAATAGAAGCCTTATGGGCATTGCAGCTTCTACCAACCCTCCTGTCTGCCATCCTGAGCCTCTCAGGATAGCTGTGGCTCTCAGCAATCAAAAATAACAAATATTTGCCATGTTTTCCATGCTGTATGAAAAGCTGTGCCCAATAGAAACACAGGAAAGCCCTTACTAACAATAAGCTCACTGAGCACTCCTTGGTCCACACAACACTGGCCCAGTACCACAAAGCGGGTACAGCCAGTGGAACCATAGAAACAGGCAAGGGCCAAGACAGGCAAGGTGGCTTCCATTCATCATAGGCTGATGCCATCGCAGACACAGGTGTCAGGTCTTCAATTTGCAGTTATGAAGCCACACCAAGGTCCCTACTAACCCTCACAATGCAGCTGTAAGCTGAGAAAGGGGAGCCTACTACACGACTCCCCCAGAAACTCCCCCCAACCACTCAATGGATGTGAGGCCATACATTCTTACTCAAATGAGAACAGAGCCACTAGAATAAACTCTGTTATCCGAGTACTCTCTATCCTTGGGTGGTTGAACTGTATCCGTGCTGGAGCAGGACACCTGCATCTATGTAAGTGCACTCACCAACATGCAACAATGAGACCACATCATAAGCAATCCCTTCCCCTGTCTGAGAGACAACACACCTGCCCAGCATCCAGGTAGTGGGTCACCTGCAGCACCAGGAAGAAGACACGCAGTGACTCCTTCTGGATGGGGTTGCCCTGCCAGTTCTCCACGATTTGCCCGCACAGAGTGAGCAATGGGTGCACCTCTTGCAGTTTGCGCTCCATCAGCAGCAACTGGAAGGGATGGTGAGGGGGGCGTCACTGTCACCAGTCCGACAGCTTAGGAACCTCCCCTCAGATGACGGAGCTGGGAGCAATAATGTCAGGAATGGCAACGCTTGCCTTTAATCCCAGCACCCGGGAGACAGAGGCAGACAGATCTCTGTGAGTTTGAGGCCAGCAGCCTGGTCTACAGAGTTCCAGGACAGCCAGGGACACATAGAGAGACCTTGTCTCAAATAAACAAAGCTAGATACAACAAAGGAACTGTACAGGTGGCTCCACAGAAGGCTTCCTCAATAGCACACCTACCACCTGAAGCCATACAGCTGCACCCACCAGTCTTGACTTACCATCCCCTTGCTGAGCAGGAATAGTGCCCTGGAAAAGAGACAAGACATCAGGTTTGAAGGACACCAGGAACCCTGGGGATCAAAAAGGTTGCCCCTCAGGGAGGTGTGCTTAATAAAATAACCTTTTAGTGTGCTGAATTTTGTTCTCATTTATATTTATGGTATTTTGGGGAGGGCATGAGGTTCTCATGTAACCCAGGTTGGCCTCAAACTTGGTATGCAGCTGAAGATGATGATGAATTTTTTTTCTGGGGGTTGGCATGCTGGGGATTGAACTTAATGTCTTACACTATCACTTTACTCCCAACTTAACTTTGAACTTAAAAAAAAAAAATCAACTGGGCATGGTGGAGCACACCTTTGATCCCAGCACTTAAGAAGCAGAGACAGGTGGATGGATCTTTGTGAGTTCAAGCCCGTACTGGTCTATATATGGAATTCCAAGATAGAGTTACATAAGAGAAACTTTGTCTCAAAAAACAAAGAACACACACACACAATTTACTTTTGTTATGTCTATGTGTGAGTGCCTACATGTGTAAATACATCCAAGGAGGCCACAAGGGCATATCAGATAACTAGGAACTGGAGTTATAGGAAACTGTGACTCTCCTAATGAAGGTGCTGATGAGTAAATCTGGGTTTGGAATGCTCTTAAACAATGATCCACCCCTCTACTTTCTCAATCTTTAACTTGGGATCCTACTTCTTTGGATCCTCCACCTTCAGCACCAATTATTTTACATGATGCAGCCATACCTGTGAGCATTACAAAAGGTCAGAGGGCCAAGTTCTGGGCAGAGTAGAAGATGGCACCCTCAAGTCACCTTGATGCTCCAACATAGCAGATATGGGTGTGGCACAGAGGATGCATGAAACAGGAACTGGCTTGGGCTGTCACCACCTCACCTTTGAACTGGGTTGTGCTCTCACCACCCAGGTCCCTCTCTGGATTAAGGGAATAAACTCATAACACTGGAAAGGTCAATGTTCTCCCCTCTTCTTCTCCACCAGGGTTCCTATGACCTGTCCTAGCCCCCACTCCTCGGACTTTCCCAAGCAGATCTACATACATGGTGAAACTGAGGACAGGAACTCCCACAACAGGGCAGGTTGGTCTCTCATACCAGTGCTAGCCCACTTTACTTTGTCTCACTCTTCAACAAGCGCAGCATGCAGGTGTGTGGACAATGAATCACACCTGGCTGTCAAGGAGGCCCTATACAATAAAGTCTGGACAAATCCTACCAGAACTCCCCATTTCAAGTGATTTGGAAACTACATGTAGAAGTGTAAATCTCTCATCCCAAGGGGAGGCTGAGGCAGGAGGAATAAAGCAAGTACCTGGGGTTCATCCTGGGCTACAGTAGTGACAGACAGCCTGACTCAAAAATATCAGAGAGAAACTGCCAGTACCAGCTCTATCAATGAGATACCAGCTCTGCATTCCCTGCCAGCAATTCATGTCTCTTGAATTGATAGGCTACTTGCTAAGATTGACTATATGGTTCACAATACCAGAGGTCACCTTCACACACCAAGATGCCATGTTTAGGGTCAGTAGCAGAACAGCCGAGCTCTTTCTAAGATACAGAGCAGGAGGAAAAGGATGGGCACAGCCTACCGTGTATATTCAGATCCCACCACTCGGGCATACTCAGCCCCCACGCCCAGGAGGTCACAGGCTGATACCAGGTCCTTCTCCAGTGTGTGCAGTTGCTAAAAAGGAGAAAAAACAATGACCATGGCTGTCAATGCCCATCCTCAGAACTTGCCCCAGTTTGGCTGAGCCTCCTACATCAGCATAGTCACTGCAGTGTGGGTTTGGAGTTCAAGCACCAAGACAGCCATCAGTGATAACTACTGGGGAAACAGTTGGGCAAACACGACTCATGCTGTCACTTCAGCTTATTGGTGCACAGAATCAGCAGTCTGGGCTCTCAGGCAGACCCAGGGCGTACCAAGTGGGTTACTAGGAAGGGCTCCCTCAGGAGCAGGGGAATAAGGATGCTTCAAATCGGAAGCCTGAACAACTGAAAGAGAGACCAAATCCAGCTAATCCCTGGAAAGGCAAAGGCAGCTCCTTGGTATAGAGCACAGCTACCTTGCACACAATGTCATATAGCTGCCCAGCCACTTCCTCAGCTGCTGGCAACAGCACATGGGAGGCTGCAAGGAGACCTCTTGGGGAAAGGTTCTGAAGTCCAGTATCTTTGGCTACATGGGGGATAGGGCTGGAGACAGGAGACACGACAGATAGCTAGGTCAAGGGTAGACAACACCAGCAAGGGGTCATCCAGGCGCCCCCGAGAGAGAGGTGTAGACAAGATGAGGAAAGAAAAGGTGACTGACAGAGTGGAACAACCTGTCCCCATATGGCAGCCAGGAGGCCCCCAAGGGGAGCATGTGTGTCTGGTACTTGAGTTCATGCCCTAAGGTCTCATTCTCTCCTGTACTCACTGCGAGCTGGAAGAGGAGGCGGCAGTGCCAGTATGGCGTCTGCTGTGAGATCTGGATGGCTTTCCGCAGCAGTGGCTTTGCTGCATCCACAGAGTTCTGAAAGGATATGGTTTCAAGTTCAAGGAGGACAAGCTGGCAGTCGCATTGGACCCTGATGCAGCCGCTGCCACTTGATGGGATGACGTGGGAATTCAAGTACAGTGTACTTGCCACTTGGGGAGAGTCTACATGCTTCTGAAACACTTCTTGATAGGTGTGATAGTTCACACCTGTTTTATCAACGCTTGGGAATCTGAAGCAGGACTGCCCATGAGAGCAAGGCCAGCCTAAGCTACAGTGTGACACTGTGCAAAAAAAAATTTTTTTTTTTTAAAATTTAGAATATAAAGGCCAAGCATGGTGGACCATGCCTTTAATCTCAGTATTAGGGAGGCAGATCTCTATGAGTTCAAAACCAGCCTGGGTCTACATAGTAAGTTCCAGGACAGTCAGAGTTATGTAGAGAGATCCTGTCCCCAAAAAGAAAATAACAATAAAAAAACAAACCTCAAAAAAACAAAACAAAACAAAAAAGAAAACCGAACAAAAAGTTAAGAATATAATATAAAATATAACAGCTTCTCATTCAGACAGGTATGGTAGGCAACTTAAGTTGGGATAATACTAAGGAAGCTAATGCAGGAGGTATTCTAGGGCAGCTAGGGGTAGGTACATAGTGAGACTGTGTCTCAAAAACAACTTAAAAAGTTATGTACACATAGACACACACACACACATTTGGTATTGAGTCTGGTGGTGCACACCTTTAATCCCAGCACTTGGAAGGCAGGCAAGTGAATCATTATGAGTTTGAGGCCAGCCTGGTCTACACAGCCACATCTATGCCAGTCAAGGCTATATACTAAGACCCTATCTCAAAACAACACCCCTGCAAAAAAAACCCAACAACAGAAACACCAAGCCCAAAATGAACATAAAACCACACACACACACACACACACACACACACACACACACACACGAAAAGTAGAGAGATGGCTCTGGCTTGGGTTCAGTTCCCAGCACTCACAAGGCAGCTTATAACCATTTGTCAGTCCAGTTCCAAGGGACCTCATATCCTCTTCTGAACTCTGAACAACTGGCAAGGATGTTGTACACTCACATACACAAAGTATTTATACCCATTAAAATAAAAATAAATAACAACAAAATCTGAAGGGTGGAGGTACAGTTGGTGTTAGAAGGTGTCTACTTAGCAGGCTTAAGGCCCTGGCATCCCCTAGACCACAAAAAAAGATACAAGGAAAAGTTGCACCTTTAAGAATACTGGACAATGGTGTTGAATCACTTCTATCACAGTAGGCAGTATACACTGGGAGGAGAGAGGCACAGGACCAGAGCTCAGTGGCAGTGTCTTTCTAGTACAGGTGAGACACTCATTGGTTTCTATCCCTAGCCCTGAATTACTAAACACAGGAATAAAAGTGTGAGCAAGTCATACACAAGCTCTGTGTACACATAGGCTGCAGCACTCCACAGAAGGGCTCTGAGCACCTTGTGGTTCTGGTGTTTGCAACAATCATGGGGTGAGTTCCCAGGGTCTCTGAGGGCTGAAAACAATGTGAACTTCTACCCAACTGGAAACCATAATCTCCCGCTAGGCCCAGGAGATAGGGGGAGACTTCGCTTTCAGAACATGTTCTCACCTCTTGACAATACAGCTCTGACAACAGGCTTGCTGCCTCAAATTTAACATCTTCAAACTGTGGGATCTGGAGAAGGCCAGCTAAGGAAGTACAACACAAAGACATCTCTTTGTTTATCTTGTTTTTGTTTTAGAAGACAGGGTTTCTCTGTGTAGACCAGGCTGGCCTTAAACTCACAGAGACCCACTTGCATCTGCCTCCCTAGTCCTGGAATTAAAGGCGTGCATCACTATAGTCTGGTGCAAAGTTCTCTTTAAAAAGGGCCACAGTGCTAATGAGTTCTCCTCCTCCACGTTATAGGACAAGCAGAGGAGCCACGTTGGGGCAGGATGAAGACCTTGCAAACCAAAGTGGTGGCTGGCTTCCAGGGCAGTGAGGGCACATGGTACGCCAGGGAAGGGAGAGGTTTCTAGTTTTTATCACTGGCTTTTCATTCAAGCAGAACACTCCCTCAAGAGCACAGTACAGGGGCTTGGGGTATAGCTCAATGGCAGAACACTTGCTTAGCAAGACCCAGGCTCTTGGTTCCACCCCTAGCAGGGCACACCCCCAACACACACAAACAAGAAAAGGATACTTGCTGTGATATCAACCACTGAAAGAGAAAGAAAAAGGATTAATTAATTTTGAGGCAAATGTTTGGTGCCTGGCTATGTGGTTCATGCTGGGGCTGGCAAAGCATGTGGGGAAGCGATGTGTGTGCTTGCTTTCCCTATAATCTAATTGTGGGAATGGAAGCTGCAGGGCACTTGGTAGATGCCTAAGAGGGGATTTATCCTTCTAACATCAGACAAGAAGTTAATACTCCCACATACTCCAGGGAGGGGATCCCAGGGTGATCTTGGCCACATTCTACACTTCAGCAGGGATGATGGTCTGGCAGAAAGCTTGGACATTCAGCAAAGCTTTGCTCAAGAGTGAGTTACAATAGGGGAGGGGGTTGGTGTATGGAGACCAAGTTCCTCCTGAGGAAGTAGCATATCAAATAGGCTCGAAGAAGGCAGAGCTAGTCTCAGAAGGGAATGTCAGTGTGGACAGCAGCTGGTCAGCTTGAGAAGGTACACTGAAACATCTTCAAAACAAAACAAAACAAAAAACCCTGGCTACCAGTGTTACTACTGTTCTTACTGAGGACTCATGTTAGCGAGCTCACAACCACCCAGAATCCCAGTTTCTCAACACCTTTAGTCTCCACAGGCACCAACATTCAGGTGTGTACACACAAAAAAAAAACACACATAAAAATAACTAGCTGGGTATAGTGGCACACACATTTAATCTATACACAGGAAGCAGAGACAGGTGGATCTTTATGAGTTTGAGGCCATACTGGTCTACACAGTTAGCCAAAGCTAAACAGTGAAACCCTGTCTCCAAACAAATAAGTAAATAAATAAAAGTATTCAGAGGGCCAGTTTTGACTTAGGAAACCACTGTGTCTCAAGCTACATGTTGCAACAGGTTCCTAGCTAGTGTGCCATGCAGTGTAGTCATTTGGATCTTCAAGGACGTCCTAAGAACACACCTAACACTGACCTGCCAACCTAGGGTCCAACAAATAGTTACCAAATAACTAACATTTGAGAGGAGCCTGAAGGGTGTGGACAGGTAGACTGGGCCCTTGAGCATCCCACTGTCTCAAAAGGCCATACAAGATGGGGCACTTGGTGCTGGGCTTTGAAGGCTGGAGTAGGATGTGAGCACAGGGCTCTTCAGGAAAGGGGAAGTCAGATGCCCCAGAAAAGTTAATAAGAAAGGAACCAAGACCTGGACTAGCTGGGGTGGCAAGGCTGACTGCTTAGCGCCACTCATGCAGCAGTGGCTGGGAGTACACTTTTGGGTGTGAAGTCTGATCCAGTAGGGAAGAAGTACCTGCCCAAATTATTTTTTAAATAAAAGCTTATTTATTTATATGATTTCTTTACATGTATGCGTGTGTGCATGCATTCAATAGCCCATGAATATGGAGGTCAGTTCTTTTCAATCATGCTCTGCCACTTTCTCCCTTATTCCCTTGAGACAGAAGGCAGGCACTAGCAGCCAGCAAGTCCTAGGCCCCTCAGCAGCCACAACACTGGGGTTCCCAGTGGGGTTATGTGCACATGTCAGCTCTTTTACATGTAGACTGAGATCTGTACTCAGGGTCTCATTCTTCAACAGCAACAGTTTTAAACCAGTGAGCATTTGCCCAGCCTCATGTTTTTCGGTTTTGAGGCAAGGTCATGGCAGCCTTGAATTAACAGCATCTTTTTTTTCTGCCTCAGCCTCAAAAGTGCAGGGATTATAGGGATGAGTCAGCACACCCAGTTGACAGGCTTCTTATTCATAGAAAACAAAGTAACAAAATAATAATAATAAAACAAAACAAAAAAACCCTCAGATCTTCTAAACCACCAACTTGAGTAGCTACTGATTGCTACAATCATGACTGGAAACAGAGGGAGCTTCCCTA